TAAATAAATCATCAAAATAAATTTTGGATTCTATTTTTCTTTTTAAATCATCAAAAGAAATGCCTCCTAATCCGAGCAGTTGTATCAAAGGGTTAGCGTTTTGAGTATAAAACAACATCAAAATTGCCAAAACGACGTCGTTTTGGCAAATTTGAGCCATTTGAGCCACAAAAATTAGGGCCCTCAAACATTTTTCTTATCAAAATAACTAAGTCTAACAATATTTAATGTTACTTTTTTTTATAACTTGTAATGTAAAAATAATTTAAATAAATTTATTATTAAAAAAAATGTTTGTGTAAAGCTACTTGTAACTTCTATTTTTTTAATCATCAACTTTGTTTGTACAAAAGATAGAAAATTTATATATTTTAACTAAAACACAGAAGAATTTGCAAGAGTGTCAAGACAGCAGTGCCTAAGTTATGGAAATATTTTTGAAAAAATTTGACTTCTGAAAATGGGAGATATTGTGTTGAGGTCCAAAGGACAAAAACTTCCTAGTTCTTATTTGGCCTCAATTAAAAGGATTTAAAATCTCGAAGGAGTTTGTAAAATTAAGAAGAGAGATAAGTAAAAGGAAATGAACATCAAAGCACTTTTATAAACTCAACGAATTGAAAATTACAAAAATGTAAGAACAAGTTTGAAAATATGAAATTGAGTTACAAAATGGATGTAAACACAATTTAAGTCTCAAAATAATATTTATTGTACGAGCACGAAATAATTCTTCTCGTATGATTCTGTTGATCAAGTTTGCACTCTTCCAAACAATGTTGCTTTGCCACCTGAAAACACAAACATGAACTAATCAACGGGTGTGTGCCGGAAACCCCTCCGATGCCTAAGTCAGCAACTAAACAATAGACAATAAGCTCTGTGTATTCTACAGTAAGAATTGAAATTGTGATACCTGTCCATAGGTCCCGCTATGAGCTTTTATAGACTTGGCTTGGCCCATTCCTAATAGGATTTCCAACTCTCCATATGAGAGTCCTCCTAGGAATCACACACCCTACTCACTACCAATCAAGTGAGATGATTTGCATAATCCTAGTAGGACTTTACTCTCCTTAGCAGAGTCTTCATAGGAGTCACACTCCTACTCACTACCAACCAAGTGAGATGGTTTTTACATAATCCCAGTAGGATTCTAACTCTCCTTAGCAGAGTCCTACTAGGAGTCTCATCACTACAAGCCAAGTGAGATGGCTGAACCCTTTACCTTGGTTATACATTCTTGACCGAACTGCCTTATCTCGGTCCCCTGCTATTCGAACCGTGTGATTGAAAGCCGATCTACCGAATGCCACCCAGCCGAGCTATACACAGCTCGGCCCTCGCTATTGATGTTACCTCCTTTGTTTAAGCTGCTGCAACCAAACCGAGCTAGATTACCTCAGCCAACCACCAGGCCCATTTGTTTAGGTAGCTCGGTCCAAAGTACCTCTGCCCAGCTTGGAGTTCATACAATAGGGGATCGAGCTACTCGAAGCCCATACCTCGGCCCATAGTTCGGCCTAAATCCGAAATATGAGACGTTTTCTTGGCCTAAGATCGAGCTACACCAGTCCTTATCTCGGCCCATTACGCAGCCCAACTCCCAAAGAAGACTCTTCCTAGCTCGGCCCAATTTGTTCACAAATTACCCTCTCAATTGCCCCTTAATTCCATCTGCGTAGCATAATTGGGATTATTTTTCCTCCAGCCAAGCTAAGAACGCCCCCACTCTGCCGAGCTAAAAAGTTGTTCGGTTTCGCAGCTCGTTCAGTCCCAACAAGTCTTGTTAGTTGCTCAGCACGTCATTCCCAGGATACGTGGCGTGCCCCTATTATCCTCGTTCTCTTGTTACAACCCTCCTGTACCTTCAAAATTTTGAACAACCCCGCCTTTTTTGGCCGAGATAACCATCTCGGTCCAAGCATTCAAAAATATGTTGGTCAAACCTGCCAGCTTGCTCTGGCCAAGGTACGCACCTCGGTTGAAGAATCCAAAAAACTTTGTTGGTCAAACCTGCCAACCTGCTTTGGCCGAGGTAACTATCATCCCGGTTAAAGAGTGCCAAAGTTCTGTTGGTCATACCTGCCAACTTCCTACAGCCTAGATCCTTATCTCGGCTTAGGAATGAAAAAAGTGTTGGTTTTTTCAGTCAACCTCTTCAGCTTAGATCCTGATCTCGGTTGAAAAGAGCTCAGTGTTGGTTATTCCGACCAACCTAGAGCCAAGTGTTTGGTTATTCCGGTCAAACGTCCTGCAGCCTGGATCCTTATCCTCGGCTTAGGAAAGGTGTTGGTTTTTCCAGCCAACTTCTTCAGCCCATATCCTTATCTTAGCTGAAGAGAGCTCAATGTTGGTTATTCTAGCCAACGTAGAGCGAAGTGTTTGGTTTTTCCAGCCAAACGTCCTGCAGCCTGGATCCTTATCCTCGGCTTAGGAGAGGTGTTGGTTTTTCCGGCCAACTTCTTCAGCCCAGATCCTTATCTTAGCTGAAGAGAGCTCAAGGTTGGTTATTCCTGCCAACCTTCTTGGTTGCCCCCTAGTCGGGCAAAGACTTATTATAAAGAGTTGGCCAATCCTGCCAACCTTCCCAGTTGCCCCCCAGTCGGGCAAAGACTTTCGCGCGGTCAATCCTTCTGGCCAAAAAGTTTTTTGTCTGGTATCCCTGTTGCGCTGGACTCTGCCTTGGTGCGCCCCTCAGTTTCCTCTACCCTGATGTGTTGGTGCATTCTCTCCATCAGGGCTTCCATAGTAAGGGGCGGCGTCAGTGTCATTGAATCCCTCAACTTATTGCCAGCCGGCAAACCTCGTTTGTATTGTGCAATAGTTAGGCTGGTAGCACAATCTGTTACTTAGTTGAAGGTCTCCCAATACCTATTGTTGTAAGACTTCAACGTTTTCTTCTCACCCATGTAGATGGAGAGAAGCTGGTCAATCTCCACTGGCGTCTTGGTGTTTGTTCTGAATCTAGTTACAAATGCCTTCGCTAGCTGTGCCCATGAAGCTATACTACCTTCTGGTAACCTTTCAAACCATGTTAAACCCATGTCGCCGAGACTGGAAGGAAACATAATACACATTAGAGCCTCGTTTCGCCGATACACGGCCATAACCTGGTAAAAGTGGCTCAAGTGTATGTAGGGGTCCGACTTCCCCTCATAAGTAGTGAATTTGGGCTGGTGGAAGCTTGAAGGTAGTGGTGCATTCTCAATTGTTGGAATGAACGGTGAGCTCTACAACCTTGCTAACGCTTTGTTTGTTGGTTCATAGGCAAGGCGTGGCTCTGGAATTCTAACCTCGACACTCCCATGTGTTCTAGGAGCCAATCGTTATAGTACAGAGACTCTGCGGGGGTCGCAACTGAGTGTCTTCTCTCCTTCGAGCCCTTTCAGTCCTCATTCTCTCAGGCCTGGAGTAGCGTGCCCTGGAAGTCTTTAATTGTGTATCGCCCGACCTGAGGTTTCTACTTTCAGTTTGTGATGGCGTGACTTGTTTGTCACGATCTTCTGAGTGGTAAGAGTGTGTGTTTCCTTTGCGCCCCTCTTTTGCTGCCACCCTTTTGCCTTTTATCTGGCTCTTCATAGACTCTATGTCAGCCGTCATTCTTCTTATTACTTTGTCATGTTCCCTTACGCGATCTTCGAGAACCTGAGGATCCATCTTCCGTCTTTGTCTATCAGGGCTTTGAGAGCGGTATGGACTTGAGCCCCGTCTTTCTCTCGCTTCTCTCCGCGGATTCCTTCGCCGGGGATCTAATTCCGCCATGGATGGAATAGAAGGTAAACCTTCGCGCCTCCCACCCCCTTTCGATGTTTGCCCATCAATAGCAGATTGCGGCAAGTCTTCGTTGTGCGCCATTGTTTCCAACTAGAGAGGAAAGCTTGATCAAGAGGTTTTGTTCTTTGTGAAATTCCCACAGACGACGCCAATTGTACGAGCACGAAATAATTCTTCTCGTATGATCCTGTTGATCAAGTTTGCACTCCTCCAAACAATGTTGCTTTGCCACCTGAAAACACAAACGTGAGCTAACCGGCGGGTGTGTGCCGGAAACCCCTCTGATGCCTAAGTCAGCAACTAGACAATAGACAATAAGCACTGTGTATTCTAGAGTAAGAGTTGGAATTGTGATACTTGTCTATAAGTCCTGCTATGAGCTTTTATAGATTTGGCTTGGCCCATTCCTAGTAGGATTTCCAACTCTCCCTATGAGAGTCCTCCTAGGAATCACACACCCTGCTCACTACCAACCAAGTGAGATGGTTTGAGGATGATTCTTTCTTCTCTTCGCAGAAGTGGATAAGTTCTTCTATTTGCTGTAGGCCGACTAGAACCTCCATATCTTCCGGCTCCACCTCTGTTGGCCATTCTGTAAATGAAAACAGTGAATATACAAGCCTTGAAAGGGCATCAGCAAGAGTATTATCAGAACCATTAATATGTTCTGAAGATACATCTATGCCTAGACCGGTTATGTAGTCTGTGAAGGCTATCCATCTAGACCGTGAAGGTTTATGGTCCACTGTTTTGTTGAAGAAACTGATTATAGCCTGGCAATCAGTTCTTAGAGTTAGCTGCGGTTTATCAAGATAATATATCTTGAAGGATTCCAAAGAATTCATGCAAGCATATATTTCAGCATCAATTGTTGATTTTCACTCGAAAGGCTCCAATTCCTTATAATCAAAAGCCATTACTCCAGGAGCAACAAGAATACATTCGATGGTGTGAAGCTGAAATGAAGAGGCTTCGAGAGGAAGCAATTCAATACAAAACAGAGCTTGAAGAACTCAAGACAGTAATGCAATTACAAGATGATGAACGGGAACTCAGAAGAAAAGGAAAGTATAAAGAAGAAGAGCTCCATGATTTGGAAGCAGAAGCATTGGAACAAGAAACTCATGTTCGATTTAAGGAAGTTCCGGAAACAGCTCTTGCTCTTGAAGAAATGATAGCTGGAGGAGAGGTAAAAGAGAAAAAGAAGAATATGCTCTATAACCTCACGGTGGAACTTGAAATTCCTGGTCTTCAGAAGATCTCTCTACACGCAATCCTGGACACAGGAGCAACAACTTGCGTCGTAGACTCTGAATCAGTCCCAGCTGATGTCGTTTTGCAATTAACGCTTCCAACTTCTTTATCTGAGGGTACTCCGTATCTGCTTCTTCCATCATAGCAATTATATTGAGCGTAGAGTCAGAGTCTGAATCCTCCTGTCTGTACTCTAAAGCTGCTTTCCCCGTACTTCCAAATCCTTCAGTACTTCTTCGAATGTCACATAAATTGCGGGCATCCTTTTCCACCATTCTTGGTAAGGAAACCTTCTCAAAAATGATCTGAGCGATTCTGTCTCCAGCACGGACTATGAATTCCTCCTGATTATGATTAAAAAGGAGTACTTTAACTTCCCCTCTGTAGTCGGGGTCAACGACTCCTGCTCCAACATCTATTCCATGGATTAGAGCTAGTCCGGATCTGGGAGCAAGTCGTCCATAGAGTCCATAAGGAATTTCCATGGCTATACCAGTGGAAATTAACGCAGGTTGATAGTCAGAATATTAGGATGTTCACATGCCCTTGTACTAAACTAGTTGTTCAATTTTAATTTTAGCTTTCGGTTTTAAAAAAGGACAAAAATTTATGAAATGATAGCAGACCATAAGTGCTGTAAAAAAAAAATATAAAAAATCATTGCAGTATAAAATACAGACAAATGTACGGGCTTTTTTCCATATTAAGTCAATTCGCCTCTTAATTTTCAAACTAAGTTTAGTTTGGACGGAATTTTCAAACTAGGTTATTACAAATTATGCTTTCACTGTTTGGGGTTGAAAATTTGATGAATAGTGAAAGCGCTATTAGAAATCACGCTTTTAATTAAGAAAGCGTGGTTTTATGAAGAAAGCGTGGTTCTGAACTACGTTTTCACTGTGCATATTCATTTTCTTAAAAAAATGTGATTCATAATCACGCTTTCACTGTTGATTAATGAAAGTGTGGATTGAAATAACTAGGGGTGAGCAGCGGATATTCTAATCCGCTCAACAAGATGGATTAAGAGATTTAGGGGTGGCAAGTAAGGGTGAGCAGCGAATATTCCGATCCGCTCAAACCGACTGAACTGAACTGATTCGTCGTATTTTGAACGGATGCATGATGACGAGCAGACGGGTGCGGATTGATTTTTTCTAATCCGCTTAATTCTGAACGGATGGCGGATTTGAAATTTTTTGGCCGCAACCGAACCGCCAAACCGCCAAATCGCGAGCACCCCTAGTAATTTATAAGACTTTGTATTTTCAATTTGTTTAATATTATGTTTGTGTTTTCAATTGAAAAAGAGTTTAAATATTCTGTTGAAAAAAAGTTTTCAACTTGAATATATTTTTTGAATTGAAAAAAATAAACGTATTATTCATATATATTTTTTAGTTTTTAAATGTAACTCTAAAAATAATAAATAGAAAATATGATATATGCTGGTTGGTTTTTGTTTTCAAAAACATATGTAGATGTAACAATACAGAGACATTCAATCTCTATTACTGCTCTGTTCATGGTTTTGATGGTTTGAATTGTTATTATATTTTAAGAATCACAGATTGTAATACTTTATGGGGATGAATCATGCTGTGATTGTAATATGTGGATGAGGCATGCAGTGATCATGATATTCTAAAGTTTCAAACTTTCTTTCTTTGGATAAGGCATACAGTGATTGTAATACTTTTTTAAGTCATTGATTGTAATACTTCTTTTTTTTTTTTTTTGAGGAAGGGCACAAGTTGAATTATGTTGAAAATTTATAAAATTTTAAACCGCCAAACCGATTCGCATCCATCCGCCAAACCGCCAATCCGCTCAAACCACATCCGCCGGATTGGCGGACGGATGCGGATTGATTTTCTTCAATCCGCCAATCTGGCGGACGGATGGCGGATTCGAGGTTCCGTGGCCGCAACCGACCCGCGCCCACCCCTAACCTGAAAATACAAACATGAACTAATCGACGGGTGTGTGCCGGAAACCCCTCCGATGCCTAAGTCAGCAACTAGACAATAGACAATAAGCACTGTGTATTTTAGAGTAAGAATTGAGATTGTGATATATGTTCATAGGTCCTGCTATGAGCTTTTATAGACTTGGCTTGGCCCATTCCTAGTAGGATTTCCAACTCTCCATATGAGAGTCCTCCTAGGAATCACACACCCTACTCACTACCAACCAAGTGAGATGGTTTGCACAATCCTCGTAGGACTTTACTCTCCTTAGCAGAGTCCTCATAAGAGTCACACTCCTACTCACTACCAACCAAGTGAGATGGTTTTTACATAATCCCAGTAGGACTCTAACTCTCCTCAGCAGAGTCCTACTAGGAGTCTCATCACTGCAAGCCAAGTGAGATGGCTGAACCCTTTACCTTGGTTATACATTCCTGACCAAACTGCCTTATCTCGGTCCCCTACTATTCGGACCGTGTGATTGAAAGCCGATCTACCGAATGCCACCCAGCCGAGCTATACACAGCTCGGCCCTCGTTATTGATGTTACCTCCTTTGTTTAAGCTGCTGCAACCGAACCGAGCTAGATTACCTCAGCCAACCACCAAGCCCATTTGTTTAGGTAGCTCGGTCCAAAGTACCTCTGCCCAGCTTGGAGTTCATACAACAGGGGACTGAGCTACTCGAAGCCCATACCTCGGCCCATAGTTCGGCCTAAATTCGAAATATGAGACATCTTCTTGGCCTAAGACCGAGCTACACCAGTCCTTATCTCGGCCCATTACGTGGCCCAACTCTCAAAGAAGACTCTTCCTAGCTCAGCCCAATTTGTTCACAAATTACCTTCTCAATTGTCCCTTAATTCCATCTGCATAGCATGATTGGGATTATTTTTCCTCCAGCCAAGCTAAGAACGCCCCCACTCTGCCGAGCTAAAAAGTTGTTCGGTTTCGCAGCTCGTTCAGTCCCAACAAGTCTTGTTAGTTGCTCAGCACGTCATTCCCAAGATACGTGGCATGCCCCCATTATCCTCGTTCTCTTGTTACAACCCTCCTGTACCTTCAAAATTTTGAACAACCCTGCCTTTTTTAGCCGAGATAACCATCTCGGTCCAAGCATTCAAAAATATGTTGGTCAAACCTGCCAGCTTGCTCTGGCTGAGGTACGCACCTCGGTTGAAGAATCCAAAAAACTTTGTTGGTCAAACTTGCCAACCTGCTTTGGCCGAGGTAACTATCATCCCGGTTAAAGAGTGCCAAAGTTCTGTTGGTCATACCTGCCAACTTCTTACAACCTAGATCCTTATCTCGGCTTAGGAATGAAAAAAGTGTTGGTTTTTTCAGTCAACCTCTTCAGCCTAGATCCTGATCTCGGTTGAAGAGAGCTCGGTGTTGGTTATTCCGGCCAACCTAGAGCCAAGTGTTTGGTTATTCCGGCCAAACGTCCTGCAGCCTGGATCCTTATCCTCGGCTTAGGAGAGGTGTTAGTTTTTCCAGCCAACTTCTTCAGCCCATATCTTTATCTTAGCTGAAGAGAGCTTAAGGTTGGTTATTCCGGCCAACGTAGAGCGTAGTGTTTGGTTTTTCCAGCCAAACGTCCTGCAGCCTGGATCCTTATCCTCGGCTTAAGAGAGGTGTTGGTTTTTCGGGCCAACTTCTTCAGCCCAGATCCTTATCTTAGCTGAAGAGAGCTCAAGGTTGGTTATTCCTGCCAACCTTCTTGGTTGCCCCCTAGTCGGGCAAAGACTTATTAGAAAGAGTTGGCCAATCCTGCCAACCTTCCCAGTTGCCCCCAGTCGGGCAAAGACTTTCGCGCGGTCAATCCTTCTAGCCAAAAAGCTTTTTGTCTGGTATCCCTGTTGCGCTGGACTCTGCATTGGTGCGCACACCATTTTCCTCTACCCTGATGTGTTGGTGCACTCTCTCCATCAGGGCTTCCATAGTAAGGGGTGGCGTCATTGTCATTGAATCCCTCAACTTATTGCCAGCTGGCAAACCTCGTTTGTACTGTGCAATAGCTAGGCTGGTAGGACAATCTGTTACTTAGTTGAAGGTCTCTCAATACCTATTGTTGTAAGACTTCAACATTTTCTTCTCGCCCATGTCGATGGAGAGAAGCTGGTCAATCTCCACTGGCGTCTTGGTGTTTGTTCTGAATCTGGTTACAAATGCCTTCGCTAGCTGTGCCCATGAAGCTATACTACCTTCTGGTAACCTTTCAAACCATGTTAAACCCATGTCGCCGAGGCTGGAAGGAAACATGATACACATTAGAGCCTCGTTTTGCCGATACACGGCCATAACCTGGTAAAAGTGGCTCAAGTGTATGTAGGGGTCCGACTTCCCCTCATAAGTAGTGAATTTGGGCTGGTAGAAGCCTGAAGGTAGTGGTGCGTTCTTAATTGTCGGAATGAACGGTGAGCTCTGCAACCTTGCCAACGCTTTGTTTGTTAGTTCATAGGCAAGGCGTGGCTCTGGAATTCTAACCTCGACACTCCCATGTGTTCTAGGAGCCAATCGTTATAGTGCGGAGACTCTGTGGGGGTCGCGAGCCTGAGTGTCTTCTCTCCTTCGAGCCCTTTCAGTCTTCATTCTCTCAGGCCTGGAGTAGCGTGTCCTGGAAGTCTTTAATTGTGTATCGCCCGACCTGAGGTTTCTACTTTCAGTTTGTGATGGTGTGACTTGTTTGTCACGATCTTCTGAGTGGCAAGAGTGTGTGTTGCCTTTGCGCCCCTCTTTTGTTGCCACCTTTTTGCTTTATCTGGCTCTTCATAGACTCTATGTTAGCCGTCATTCTTCTTATTACTTCGTCATGTTCCCTTACACGATCTTCGAGAACCTGAGGATCCATTTTCCGTCTTTGTCTATCAGGGCTTTGAGAGCGGTATGGACTTGAGCCCCGTCTTTTTCTCGCTTCTCTCCGCGGATTCTTTTGCTGGGGATCTAATTCCGCCATGGGTGGGATAGAAGGTAAATCTTTGTGCCTCTCACCCCCTTTCGATGTTTGCCCATCAATAGCAGATTGCGACAAGTCTTCGTTGTGCGCCATTGCTTCCAACTAGAGAGGAAAGCTAGAGAGGAAAGCTTGATCAAGAGGTTTTGTTCTTTGTGAAATTTCCACAGACGGCGCCAATTGTACGAGCACGAAATAATTCTTCTCGTATGATCCTGTTGATCAAGTTTGCACTCCTCCAAACAATGTTGCTTTGCCACCTGAAAACACAAATGTAAGCTAACCGGCGGGTGTGTGCCGGAAACCCCTCTGATGCCTAAGTCAGCAACTAGACAATAGACAATAAGCACTGTGTATTCTAGCGTAAGAGTTGAAATTGTGATACCTGTCCATAGGTCCTGCTATGAGCTTTTATAGACTTGGCTTGGCCCATTCCTAGTAGGATTTCCAACTCTCCCTATGAGACTCCTCCTAGGAATCACACACCCTACTCACTACCAACCAAGTGAGATGGTTTGCACAATCCTAGTAGGACTTTACTCTCCTTAGCAGAGTCTTCATAGGAGTCACACTCGTACTCACTACCAACCAAGTGAGATGGTTTTTATATAATCCCAGTAGGACTCTAACTCTCCTTAGCAGAGTCCTACTAGAAGTCTCATCACTGCAAGCCAAGTGAGATGGTTGAACCCTTTACCTTGGTTATACATTCCTGATCGAATTGCCTTATCTCGGTCCCCTGCTATTCGGACCGTGTGATTGAAAGCCAATCTACCGAATACCACCCAGCCGAGCTATACACAGCTTGGCCCTCGCTATTGATGTTACCTCCTTTGTTTAAGATGTTGCAACCTAACTAAGCTAGATTACCTCGGCCAACCACCAGGCCCATTTGTTTAGGTAGCTCGGTCCAAAGTACCTCTGCCCAGCTTGGAGTTCATACAACAGAGGACCGAGCTACTCGAAGCCCATACCTCGGCCCATAGTTCTGCCTAAATCCGAAATATGAGACGTCTTCTTGGCCTAAGACTAAGCTACACTAGTCCTTATCTCGGCCCATTACACGGCCCAACTCCCAAAGAAGACTCTTCCTAGCTCGGCCCAATTTGTTCATAAATTACCCTCTCATTTATGAAGCCCAAAAAATAAGAATAATGTTATATGTACCAATAAGTTTACTAACTAGTGTACTAATAGATGATGTGACATAATTTTAGAGGTTTTGGGTATTTGTTATTTAATTAATAGGTGGGGTTAGTAATAGTGACATAATACTAGTTGGTACATTAGTTAGTACACTAATTGATATATGTAGCACCACTGAAAAAATAATTAATTTGATACGGATGTCATGAGCTAAAGCTAAAATCTATGGAATTAGGGCTAAACTAAGAATAAATGACATTGGGTTATGTACTAAGTCATGTTGAATGGTTGATTTATAGGGATTTGTTCTATCTTCAAATGAAGTATTTATAAACAACTTTTGTTAGTAGAAAGTTGAACGTATTCCTGAAGTGACACCTGTCCCAATTTGTTTCTCCTTTTTAGGGTGTTGGTTGTGTGCTCCTCAAGACTTAGGTAGGTTTGACTATAACTGCCTCCTAATCCGAGCAGTTGTATCAAAGGGTTGGGCCTTGGATGAATGACAAACGTCTCATGTTGGTCAAAGTGATCCCATAAATCTTACAACCATTTGAGCATTTGAATTGTGGTCGTTGATGTCGCTAATAGTGGAGCTCCCTGCCTTCCAAATTGATGACATGTGTCCCATCATCTCTATCCACAAAACCAACAAATAAATACATACATTTAATTAGTAGACACTAGCGGTAACCTGCGCGATGTATGAAAAAATAGATTATATATATTTTATGTGATAAATAAATTATCTTGGTCTTAAATTATGTCTTAATGGCGACAAGTTACGATGTTAAGCCATCAGGGTAGATGTTAACAATAATTAAGTTACAAAATTTCACAATAAAATTTGATATACATAAAAAATTATTAATTATAAAAATTGTTTAGAATAATAGTATCACAATCATTTGATAACATAAATAACTTGTATCAAACTAAACTAAACATTAAAAGAGACAAATTCCATAAACTCAGAAAAGTTATAATAAATTTAATTAGACTTTTAAATCAGTGGTGTATATTATTATTGTGAGATCAAATTATGGATAAATATCAACTTTTAATTATAATTTATAAGTAGTTTTTTAAAAAATTTAATCTAAGTTTGTTGCCTTACTCATAAAAAGAACTTCTTAAACAAATTATTAATTGATTATGTTAGCATCTCTCTATCTTTGATTTCATCTATCAATGACATACGCATATCATATCAAAGTATAAATTATTCTCCATAGTTTGAATAATACTTGCATAGTTCCTACATCATTTTAAAAAAATTAATCAAAATAAGAATTTTGTAGGATTATAAAAATTATATAAGAAAATAGTTTTAATCCATTTTATTTATAAAAAAATGATGAAAAATTATTTGAATTGTACTTGAAGAAATATAACAAATGATAGCTTTAATTATTATATACCAAAAAATAAAATTATATAGGCTACTCAATGAAAAAATGGTCAAATGCAAATAAAGTCATGGACATTAAATTAAATCATATGAGCTCTAAATTGATAGTATAATCTAGCAAATCAACTAATAATAACATAGAGATATTGACAAACATGTAATATTTCCCTATCATCTTTGTGTTATGTTCATTAATTTCATATATCATATCAAAGTTTTACTCGTCTTGATCTTTCAATAAAATAAGGACTACGAAAACAAATTTGATAAGAAATTGATTATAAACTTTGTTATTGAAAAAACAAAAATTTCAAAAAAAGAATTTAGAGATGGGATTGAAGAAATATTATAATGAATGACAACCTTATAAAAAATAAAAAACAAAAACGTAATAATGATCTAATGCAAATTATTTTTAATAACTAATAGAAAGAATATCAAATTATTATCTTGTATAAATATAATGACGAAAATTAATTTTGTGAGATTTTTGTGTTGCCTTCTCCCATGCAGCCTTCATTATTTCATTATTAATATTTTTCTCATTTAGAGCCAACCAATTTCATTATTAATACTCTTCTCATTCAGAGCCAATAATTTATTTTTTTTAATCTTTATCACTTGGTAAATAATAACGAATAATAAAAAATTATCAAGAGAATGTTAAGAATTTAATAGGAGATAAGAAGTTAAAGATAAGGGCATTTCATAAAATAAAAAATTTAAAATAAAAAAAGATAATATGTAATAGAAGGAAAAAAAAAATATGAGTAAATCAAAATAAAGATTTAGATATATATGCTTTTGATAGATATATAGATTAACAAATCATATCTTTATCTAAATTTTATTATTTTAAATTTTATTATTTTAATTTTTTGTAAATCAATTATTTAATCTTTATCTTTATCTGTAGGCCATGAAATTAATCTTTATAAATTATTTATCATTTTTTATATGTTTATTTATTTATAAGTCATGAAATTAATTTTTTTTTAATTTGTATCTTTATTTATAGGTCATGAAATAATTTTTCATAAATTATTTATGAATTTTTATATGTTTATCTATAATGAAATTAATTAAAGTACAAAATGAAGGGGAAAAAAAAGGAGTAATTTCTTCTTTTTTTTAAATAAATTATTTAATCTTTAACTTTATTTGTAGGCCATGAAATTAATTCTTATAAGTTATTTATCAACTTTTATATGTTTATTTATGGGAAGAAATTTTAAATTATCTATAAGTTATGAAATTAATTTTTTGTAAATTAATTGTTTAATTTTTATCTTTATCTATAGACTATAAAATTAATTTTCAATTTTTATATGTTTATCTATATTGAGGAATTTTCAAATCTTTATCCATAAGTAATGAAATTAATTTTAATTTTAATTAATCAAACAAATAGAAAATGAAGAAAAATAGAAAACATGAAAGGCAATCAAAAAGAAGGTTGTCATGTAGGAAAGAAAGAGTTTTAAAATTATGAGAATTTAGGAATAAATATTTAGAGATTTTTGATAAAATAACTACATTTGGTTATATATATAGTATAGATAGATAGATATATTAATTGTTGATAAACATGCAACCTCCTATTTCTAAGGAGTTTGTGCTAATCATGGCGAATTAGGATCCTCTACTTGCACTTTTTCCTTATCTCCTTACTTGCAATAGTGGAGATATACCATTGGATGATCCAACGGTCCAGATTTAGCTATTTTAAAAAAAAAAAAATTGTTTTTAATTTTTTTTAATTTTTTTTTTTTTTGGAAAATAGTCAAATCTGAACCAATAGGCAGATCTGAACCATTGAATTATCCTAGGGTACATCTCCACTATTGCAAGTAGCAAGGTAAGGAGAGAGTGCAAGTAGAGGATCTGGACTCATAGACTATTGTATGGACTCCAAGAATCACCGACTTACATTCTTCAATTTGCTAAAGCCATAACCTTTGCCTCGCCACTTAGACACATGGTGTGTCTCTATTGGGCTCTCTTTTTTATTACAAATCAACTTCTATCTTACAAAGGAGAAACTTGTATTTTTATTTTTATTTAAATTTTTTTTTTGCATTGACTATAATGTGTTTCATTAGGAAAATGCAATGAAATTAATTGATAGTTCCATAGTATTGCTCATCTCCCAAAATAGTAAGATTAGCAATACCACCCCAATATTGGTAATCCCATGTTCATGCCATGAGATTAACTATCACTTCATCTCTGTTCAAAAAAAAAAACATCACTTCATCCAATAGTAAAAAGTGATCTTGCTATTTTATCTCATCCTAATCAAATATAATACACATGCTATTGTGGTATATATAATCTCATCACTTATCTCACATATTAGTACTAATCCCGACTTCAATCCTTTAGAACGACTAGTCCCCAAAAGTGCCAAAAATGCTATATTGGTTATCCAGGCCTTAAGACTGACATGAGTAAAGCTTTTAACTAACTATTTGTTGAAGCATCTTTCCAAAAGTGAAATGAACAAATGAGAATATAAAGCACATTTAGCAAGTTGGGTGATTTGGGAAAATGCCAAAAAAGAGTTTTTAGTGAACAATAATTATTTACGACACAATCTAGGTATAAATTGACCTATAAGAGCAACTAAAACTTTGTAAAACCAATGAATTAATATGTACAAACTTCTGTCTTCAATCAAGTCCGTTATACTCGATCTCCTTGAGATGCTCTCCGGATGCATTTAAGGTCGGAAGTTTTACTCTTGGTGGCTCACCGGTTCCATAAGATCTCTCGGGGCAGAATACAATGTAAATAATGTCATTAGGGTCACTTTCCAAACAATACAAACGTTGTCCTGCAGCATAACCACCAAGAAGTTGGTACGATCTTTCGGACTGATCTAGCGCAATACAAAAATCATCGGTACCTGCAACCAAAACCAAAAATGTTTCACCTTACTCTTCTTTTTTTCACCTTCATCCTCCAATTCTTCCCATTTTCCTACAGCTTTTCAATAATTAATAAATAAAAATAATCCTTGGAAGACAAGACAAACTTGAATGCTAAGAGTATGGGTGGAAATAGAAATTCAAGCAAGGTTTGATCAAACCAACTTTAGTACATCATCTAGAAAAAAGAAAATATAACAGAAAAGCATAGGAAGATATCAGAAGTTTAAAAAAAGTTTGAGCCATTCCCTACATCCACCACACATAAAGTAGAAGGATATTATCCATTTTATCTATAGCTTTTGTTTCGAATGAACCACCCTAGTAATACCTTGAAGGAAATACAAATGTTAATCATGAAAAGCTTCTGGTGATATCATGGTATAAGTTCATAAAGCTCTGCTATTAGTTCACGCAAACGGCATTATTTATTTATACCAATCTTGGGGCACCATTTACAGAAAGTGTTTCATGTCTCGGACTCAGGGCCACCAAGATGCTAACAACTTTAGGTCACAAATCTGGTGCATATGCTAAATCTAGGTCCCTTGTACATGTAGTCTGTGCTCACAAGTGAGCCCCAAGTTGATGGCTTGTTTTTGTTTTTCATGGGTCCCTAGAAATACATGGGTTTGCAAGATCAAGGCCAATCAATTTGCACTATGGATAACATATCTGCAGAAATCACATTAATTGGAGTCTTCATTTAGTAAAAGAAGATGAAGCTATCATAGGTCCATGACAAAATAATCAATTGGCCAATCTCAACCAAGGAAGCATCTGGAACTAGACAACATGAGATCTTGAACAAGAAAAGCATGATAAATGAAGAACCACTATTGAAGTCAAAGCAGGAAATAGGCATGCAGGATAAGCATTCAGATTTTCAATATCCAATACATTATTATTCAGGGAGCTTAAGGCCGGTTACAGTTGGCTTTTTCAGTGGCTCTTTTGCTTTCATGACTTTTTTTGTAGAATCTATAAAAGCTGATGATGTGTTTGGAAAGTTGAGTAGATTTTTTGGCTTTTTTAGCTGATGACAAGTAAGATTTTTGACTTTGTGGCTTTTTTAGAACATCTCCCAAACAACCCCTTGGTGTTAAACATGCAATAGGGGTGGTTTCACATATTTTTACATCTATCGAGTATAATATTTGTCATAGCAAACTGAATCATTGACTGCCAAAAGCAACTCCTCAATTTGTTGGGTTAGATTGTGAAAGTGCCTAAAAGGAAAAACAAAAAACAACTTCAACCACAACTATCACTTCCCATTCTAGAATCAATCAAACTAACCATTGGACTAGGATTAAGAGGCACAAATGTAAAATTCAAAATCCTTAACTTCTATGATAAAAACATGTGATCTAGCTAAATGAATGAATATAAAACAAACTGAGGGCACAAACAGAAAATACACACAATATAAATAAACTCACAGGCAGCGAGCTCTAGCTGAGTTAGATAAATGAAATCCAGAACTGCAGAAATCTCTTTCTCGAATTGAAGAAAGGGTCCGCTCTCAAAATTCATCTTCCGTAGCTTACACAGTCCCTCTCCCAATTCCATCATTGCTCCTTTATGGTTCTACAATGGAACAAATATATGGGGCAAATTATACCCATGGTCATCTTGTATCAATTTTATCGCCAATATACACCAATAACATCCATTACAAAAATAGACAGAAGCCAATGGCAAAATGCTTCATTCAAAATGATTTGGAACATTTCAAATCGGATGCAAATCCAAACTTGAGAGTGAATGGACTATTTTGCCATATGATTTCATTTCAATTTCCGAAAGGACATTATCAATGGACTAAATTGACGTAATGTAAAAATTCAAGGGTCAATTACATCAGTAGTTCTTTTTTGCGTCTTGTGTCATTTTGGTTCCCCGTCACTTCAATTAGCTCGATTTGACCCTTAATTTTAAATTTTGTATCAATTTTAGCCTAATTGATAACGCTGAATTGAAGGAAAATGTTTTGGTTGAGGTTAACTGACCAAATTAAACAAGTTCATAATTTTATCTATAAACCCATGACACATGACATAATGTGTACTAATTGGACGTAAAAAAGCTGCTTGGATTCATTATGGTGAAATTTGCCTAAAATTCAGGCATGAAATTATATAATTACAGCAACAAAGTTTAGAAATGGATGTAGTTGAGAATACACATTGCCAACAAACCTGGTTGAAGAGGTGATAAAAGCCCACGGCGCACTGTAGAATACCGTGAAAGAGGGTACGAGGGGGCTCCTGAGCTTGGTTCCATAGATCTTCGAGTAAGTCATGGCACTTGTAGTAATCCCCGCCGTTGAATAGCGCCACCGCTTCTTTAAATCCTCCGGCGGCCCTGTGGTCGTCCTCCTCTTCGTCGATGCCGGAGGAGAATCTGTAGGATGCAGAGATCGAACCAGAGGCCTTAGCTGTTTGATACTTCAACAACAATGGCAGCGATGATGATGATAGAATATGATTGAATCGCGGAGGAGAGACAAGACTGAGGTGAGAAACTGAGAGACTCGCCATTGAGGACGACCAATCCCGATTCGAAATTCCATGCCATTTTTTTTTCTTTCTTTTTTTATGTGATTTTTTTTTTCTTCAATTCGTTTGTGTGGTTGAGGGGACAGGTGGAGTGTGTTGGCTTTCAGTTACAAACCCCGCCACTCAAATGGGTCCCTAGAAATACATGGGTTTGCAACCCCTGGATTTGAAAAAAAAAAAAAAATAATAATAATAATTATATATTCATAAAAAAAATTATTTATGATTATAATTATAATTATTAATATTTATAAAAAAAAATTGTCAATTTGTATTTTTTTTTTAAATTATACTAATTTGATATTTCCTCAATTTATTTTAGGGGAAATTTTATGTCAATAATACTTGTATAAAGTTATTATAAATTCATAAAAAATTTATAGAAAATATGTCCCCCTTTTTTTTTCCCTTGTTTTTTGTGAACTGATTATAACTGGATAATTAATCTTTCCGACACAATACAAGATAACGGAGTTTGACAAGATTGTGTCGCGGAGGGAGTACTCCGACTATCAAGTTAATCTTTTCAGAGATGAACGAGAATTGTATTTGTGTGAGTTAATATTTCATACCTTAGCTCTGTGATCTTATTCCCTATTTATAGAATTATGTTGGTTCTTTCATAATTATTTTTGTGATAGTGTTAGTGATGTCATGTAAATCTTACCTAGGATTAGGGATAGTCACCGGACAGATTTATCATTCCCCGCCCCCACACCCGCCTCACCCCTGCTACGGGTGGAATTTTTTAACCCCATCCTTGTCACCGCGGATACCTGTGGATACCTGATACCCGTAAACATCCGATCACATTTCAAATAGTCAAAACAAATTAAGAGCCATTTAATTCTTAGCACATTAAATAGTTTTTATTTTATTTTAATATACCTAAATAGTGAGTCTTTTAAGATTATTATTTATTTATATTTAAACAAAATCATAGACTTTTAATATTATTTTTTTTATATCTAATTACATTTTATGTATATATATTGTTTATATCGGATCGGGTTTAAATCGGGAGAAGTGATATCTACCCCCGCCCTATCCCACTCTGTGGGTGACCAAAACATAATTCATCTGCCTCATTCGGGCAAGTATAGATAGCCCCCAGATCGAATTAAAATGAACATCCCAACCTAGGATGGGACTAACTCATCTATTCCTTGTCCTTTTGGTACTCTTCTTACTCTTTATAGAAAGCTTCTCTCTTTGGCTCAAATTGGCTCTCACAATTGTAATTATTTTTTAAGATTTATACTAAATTGAAATTTCTCTTTTATTTCACGTAGAACTGATATTCCATAATTATTATAATAATTAAAAATTGGGTAAATTACATGGACAATCTCAAAGATTTAGAGAAAATACAGTAAGTTTTATTAGTTTGATATAATTACATTGGATTGTCTTAATGTTTTAATTCATATAACACTTTGTCCCATTTTTATCAAAAACTCATTAGTTGTATGAATGAAAAAAATATTATTGTCATTTATTTTACATTGAAATATATATTTTATACTTTTATGTTTTTATACCATTTGCATTAGTTTTAGCCTTACTAAAACGAGAAGTTAGTATAATTTTATTAAAATTATAAAATTTATAGTATTTTCTTTAAATCTCAAAGGAGGTCAGTGTAATTTTCAAAAAGAAATTATTCTCAACCTAATTATTATGATTTGAACTAAAAAATTATTCGAATACCAAACCAAACCAAGCCTTAAGTCCCATCAAAATGGATCAGCTGCATGAATCATTTTTCTCTGCTCGACTCTATTCAATGTCATTTCGTTAGTCAAATTAAGAAGATTTATATATCTATTTACTATACTAGTCCACATCAATCTAGGTTTACCTCTTTTCCTAACACTACCATCTACCGTCACTGTATCGCATTTTTTTACTATTGTCGCTGTTGGTCTCCGTTGAATATAAATAAACTATCCCAATCTATTCTCTCTCAACATATCTTCTATCGGTACTACTCCTATTTATTTTTGAATATACTATTTTTTAACTCTGTCTCTTCTAGTCTTGCCACACATCCACCTCAACATCCTCATCTCAGCAATACTAATCTTATCTATATGTTGTTTCTTAGTTACCTAACATTCCGTCTCATGCAACATCGTTGGTCTAATAGCCGTTCTATAGAACTTCTCTTTTAGTCTAGTGAGTACTCGTTTGTCGCACAGTACTCCAGATGCACTCCTCCATTTAAGTCACGCCGTCGTCTTAATTCTGTGAATCACATCTGCTCTAATCTCTCAAATTATTATGATAATCGATCTTAAATAACGAAAATATCACTCTTAAGTAGTTCTTGATTTCCAATTTTGAGTTCTCCTCTGTTTCTATTGCGACTGTTAGTAAACCATTAGGGTGCATTTGGGATTAGTTTTTTAATATTATTTTTTGGCTTTTAGTGAATTTGTTTTTTAAATTTCAAAAAGAAGGCTTTTAGATTCTAGATGAACGGGGAAAAAAATTTAACGATTTTAAAGAAGATTTTCATTTGAAGTATCGTAGTTTTGAGAAAAATTCAAGAAAACTAAAAAAATTTAAACAACATTCAAGAAATCGAGAAATTTTTTACTTTCAAAATTGAAAAATTTATCTCTTTTTCATTTTCTTTTTCTTTATAGAATTATTTGGTCTATAAAGGGGTGCTTGGTCTTATAAACTACAAACACATTTTAACATTGGGGTAGGCAAGCAAAGTTGTTCAACATTACTACATACCATTCTTTTGAAATTGATTAGTTACAACTTACAAAAGAGTTTTTAAATTCTTAGCTCAAAGTGAATTTTACTGATATAGTTATTTATGTATGTTAGATTAACTCATTCTTACTTTCATTTTGATAAATACTTAGGAATCCAAACGAATTGTGTGTGTGTATTTGTTGTACACAAGGGAAAGAAGGGATTGCAGATGGTGAAAATAATATAGATCTGTTAAAGAAAATCAAAACATCGCATGTGTGCTACAAATGCAAATGTTGTGTAGTAATAAAGTTTAAGCCATCCTTTTATTTTCAAAGGTTAGTAAGAGAGTGTTTCATCCATTAAATCAGTCACCTGTCTTGGACATTTTGGCAATTTGACGGTCCATTTGCTTTTGCTAATCTCCATCATCATTGTATTAAGATTAATGTTATTTGTTATCAGTTTTATTTCCCCACTTTGTTTCACCTCCAAAATGTATTGATATAATAAAAGTCCTATCTATATTTAAAATAAATATTATTTAATAAATAATAAAATTTATTATATTACATGAAAAAAAAATTCACATAAGAGCGCTTCAATAAATTATTTTGATGAAGCTTTTTTATAAGGGTTAAGTTCATTTTACTCCCTTGTGGTTTGAGACGGAGTACTTCACCCTCCTATTGTTCAAATATAGCCATAAAATCCGTATGTGGTTTTGAATTAAAGTGTTACTGTTAGTTTTTTCATCCAAACTAACGGAAGGTGTATTACACACACTATTTTTCAGAATGTGTTTTGTTTTTTAAAAAATTAGAATGAAATTAATACAACAAAAGGAAAATTTTATCCCCATTTTCTCCAAACTTAAAATTAGATTAATATTTTAATTAAAATAAATAAAATATAATATAATTAAGAATTGATCTAAAATATAAAATATAATTAAATAAAATATAAAATAAAATAAACAATAATTAAGAATTGATCTAAAATGTAATTAAATTAAAATGATATTAACATGTTAGAAATTATGATAAATAATTAAAATTTAGAATTAATTGTGGTTTAAAATATAATTAAATTAAAATTAGATTAAAAAAGTTAGTAATTGCAATAAATAGTTAAATATTTAAAATAGATTAACCGTGATCTAAAATATAATTAAATTAAAATAAAAATAGAAATTTAAGAATTATAATAAATAATTAAAATTTTACAATTGTGATTTAAATAAATTAATACTAGACATTATAAAGTATGTGTATGAGAGATGAGAGAGAGAAATAAAATAACAAAAAATCTAAAGTTTGAGAGTATTATAGTCATTTCACATTTATAATTAACGATGTTAATCGTTCTATTTTAATCCAAAATCAGGTGAAGGGTATCTATTTAAAAAAAAAAAAAGTTAAAGTACTATCAAATCATATCATATGAATGTAATATGAATATTGCCTTTTTTATAATTATAAACACGGATTGTGATTTTCTTCGTTATAAACATCCATTATATCATTCAATGATAAATATTAATTTAAAATAATTATAAATTTTTATTTTATAACTATTAAATATATTATATATAATAGAAATCTTTCCTCGTAAAGAATCAAAGTCCATAAAAAACCAGTAAGTTCTATCAAATCACAAGAAAGCTTCTCAAAAGAAAAAAATCACTAAAAAATAACTCACAAAATTGAATTGAAATTTGGATTGGACCCACGAGCCTGAAATGAATAAAATAAGAAAGACAGAGAGAGAATGAGAGAACCATCGCCACATAAATAAGCAGACAAACACAGCATGATGTAGCTCTGGAGTCACGTTGTATATGTTGCAAAAGCCAGAGACAATCGTGCAGACCGCGACCTCCCAATCGTTGGCTTATTAAAATCCTTGCTATGTACCCCCTGCCCTACTACTTGTACTCTCCCCCACCATCACCACCACCTCCACTCACATTCTGCCACCTCCACTCACCGTCCTCCGCCCCTCCTCTTCCTCCACCACCGTCTGTTGTGACTATAGTTTTAAATAACAGTATTAAATAACATATTAATATCAATAATATAATCAAATATCAATCTACAATATCAATCGATATATTAAAAAATAACAGAAATATTCAATACCTATCAATTGATATTTAGGACCGTGGTGGCAGCCCCACATTCACCGCCTTCTCACACCGACAGCTCAACAACCCCCCATAATTTCCCAACCTCCTCCTACTCCCATCTCTACTGCCACCACTACCACCGTCACCACTCTTTACTTGTTGTATAGTTGCAAATTCTTCTATATCGGAGGCTGAAATCGACAAATTCGTGACACTAGCTCGATCAAACCCCTCCGCCGTGGTGACGCTCCAGTCAATGCTCGCCTCGCTAGGCTCGTAACACTCCGCCACTGCAATCGACGGCGTCGCCGCAGCCTCGTCCGAACTCCGCCGCCGGAAGTTTACGCTGCCTCCGGCAGCCAGTCTTCTAGCATTGAAAGTCGCTGTTTCGTCGAGCAAGTCTCGCCGGAAGAACATAGGGTACGGCGGCGGCGGCGGTAGTGGTGGTTGAGTCGATAAGCTCTCGATCTCGAACAAATCGGAGCTCGCGTCGCTCGCAACGTCGTCGTCTGTTGCGGCGGTGATCCGAGAAATCGGACTCGCCGGAAACGCAAAATCGCCGCCGTTCGCCGCCAGTGCACGGTGTTCAACAGCCATTGACTTGCCGGAAGCAGACTCCTCCGGTGGCCGAAAAACCTCCAACGAATCCCGAGGTGGATCTTCTATAGGAGTACAGGTTTGTGCTCCCGTCAACATAATCTTCGAGGATTGATTCAAAATCGGGAACGAGAATCCAGCTCCCTCGTTGAACTGGCGGCCGTGATGGTGGTGGCGGTTCTCCACGGTGGCGTTGGCTGAAAATTGACACTGCGATGAAAACCGCCTCGAATTCAGATCTACTTTCGCCGAACTTTCAATCACATCATTCATCGAACACTTCTGTGATGAAACTCGTCGTAGATTCGGAACTAACATCTCCGAACTTTCAACCAAATGCGATTTCTTCACAGATTGTTGTTTCGTAAATACAGTTTTAAATTCCGATTCAATCACACTTTGATTGGATTGTAATTTTTTACTATCTGAAGTTTTTACAATTGAGCTCTTCTCCTTTACTTCAACAGATTTCTTACACGAACACGGACACTTCCTACCTAAAAACCATTTTTTAGCAGAGCTAACTCGTTCTCCATTGATATTCAAATTATCGCGAGTAGGAAGGTTTTTTAAAGACACAGCAATGGAGCCCGGAGGATTCGACAAAAGACCGGTCCGGCTATTCCAACTAGCTTCAGAAGAAGCGGTTGGCGTAGCGTGAAACGAATGCGTTCTGTAATTCCTTCCATTGCGATACCTATCGTCAGATGAAACAGAAGAGAGTCGCGAAACAATTGAAAATTCACTTCTCTGATCAGGGGGGAAAATAGGTGGTGATGATGATGAAGAAGCTATCTTGTTATTCTCTTTGTGCTCATTGTTGTTGTTGTTGTTGTTGCTGCTGCTTTCGCTGAAGTAGTTTTCAGCGTCGAAAACGCTTATCTGATCGGAGTCGTCAACTGTGGATTCATTGGGTTCTTGGGAAGGTGGCGGTGGTGATTTTGGTGGTGGTGGTGGTTGGGGGCGGAGATAGGAGGAGAAAGATGCATCTTTTTGGTAGCACTTTTGTTGGAATGATCTGTAATGAATAGAGGTTTCCATGGATTAGCATTGAGTTTCCATTTGTGTTCTTCTTCTTTCTCACTGTTGAAGAAGAGAATGTACAGAGAAAAGTTTGAAGAAGAAAATGGAGTTGTGGGCAAAAGAGACTGAAATGAATTGTCTATGGAATTCAATTCATATGTTCTGCCTGGCTTATGTAGTGTTGTTGAGTTGCGTTTTAAAATTTTCCTATCATTTTTTTTTTTTTTTGCATTCATAAAGATATTAAATTCTTGGAAAATATTTGGTATCTCAAAATTTTGTGACTCAAACGGTTCAAATCTATTAAAACGACGTCGTTTTACACTCATTTACACTCAAAACGACATCGTTTTAGTGATTTGAGCCATTTGAGCCACGAAACTTTGAACTGCCTAGCATTATTGTAAATTCTTTCAATAATGTGAGGATAGAGAATGTAGGAAAATTTCATAATACATGCATCCTTAAAAAAAAAAAGGTATATAATTACAATTTGATCATGACTTATTTTTATATTAATTATGAATGGATTATAATTCAGTATAGAATGACTTTATTATGTATTAGTATAATGAATTTAATAATGTCACATGATACTTCTAATGTTTTTTCCAAAATTAATTAGTAATAAGTGGAGTAACTTCTAAATTATATATGAACCAAATTAGAATAGTTTAGAGAAGTGATATGAAAGATGTTGTTAACAATCCCTTGCATATATAGCTTGATCGCTTGTAAAGGTAACAGAAAAACGTTAGACAAGAAAATTAGACTTGTGTGACGACTTGGCCTACTGAAGACAACTCAAGACCCAGTGTTCTGATACCGTGACCGGGTTTTCCATTTTGTATCCTTGGTTCTAAGGAAGAAAAACCAATTGGATGTGCGTTAAATGCCTCTAATAATCAATCAACTGATTTTGAGATGAATGTGTATAATAATTGTAACATGATATCTAAGTTAGATCTTGAGTGATCTTTGCCAAGTCATTTTCTTTTGTCCTCCTATCATTTCTACATACAAGTTGGTCACATGGGTCACATATAAAGAAGAATATTAGAAACTTATCCCACATTACTTATCTGAGCCATTTAAATTTAGTTCATAGAGTGTTAGAAACTTATGTCACGTTACTTATTTGAGCCATCTAAATTTAGTCCATATAATTTAATAATCCCTTTATCTAGGAATTTTTATTGATAAATTCCATTTAGAAGTGTTTTAATTCAAAAAGTTCATGAAGGAATTTTTTAACCCATTTAGTCCCATGTATATATAGTTTTATTCCATAAAGTCATTTTTCTTGATTTACACTATTTTCTTGGACACTTATGCCCTTATATTTAATTTTGATACCCTTATAAATATTTTTTGAACGGTTAGCAATTTTATAATGTGAACATTCATATTTTAAAATTCATATTGGTAGGAATGTAAAATTGGCCCGTGGGCGGCCCGAAACCAGCCAGCGAGCCGGGGTGGGCCCGGCCCGTTGACAATGTGAATATTCACATTAATAGGAGTGTAAAATTGGTCCGCATCCCGTGGCGGCGCGAAACCCACCGGTGGCCCGGGGCGGGCCCAGTTCGGCCCGTTGATAATGTGAATATTCACATTAACATGTTAACATTCACATTGATAAGAGTATAAAATTGGTCCGCGGCTTATGGGCGACCAAAAGTCCCCTCCCGCGGCCCGGAACGGGCCCGACCCGGCCCGTTGACAATGTGAATATTCACATTGACATGTTAACATTCACATTAATAGGAGTGTAAAATTAGCCCGCACCCCGTGGCTGCCCGAAACTTGCCCACGGCCCGGGGCGAGCCCGGCCCAGCTTGTTAACAATGTGAATATTCACATTGACATGTTAACATTCACATTGATAAGAGTATAAAATTGACCAGCGGCCCAAGGTGGGCCCAACCCGGCCCGTTAACAATGTGAATATTCACATTGACATGTTAACATTCACATTAATAAGAGTGTAAAATTGGCCCGCAGCCCGTGGGCAGCCTGAAGCCCGACCGCAGCCCGACCCTGACATTGTGAATATTCACATTGACATGTTAACATTAACATTGATAGGAGTGTAAAATTTGCCTGCTGCCCGAAGCTTGCCCGCGACTCGGGGTAGGCCCGGCCCGGCCCGTTGACAATGTGAATATTCATATTAACATGTTAACATGCACATTGATAGGAATGTAGAATTGGCCCGCGGCCCGTGGGCTGCCCAAAGCCTGCCCACGGCCTGGGACACAAAATTTTATTATTTTCCACAAAAAAAGACACTAGGCCTCGGCGCGGGCAGGGCCTCAGACCGAGCCTTGAATGGGCCTTAACTGGGCCGATGGGCCGGGCCGGGCTTCAAAGTGATGGCCCAGGCCCTAGCCTAGGGTCTCGAACTAGGCTCGAGCCCGGGCCCAAACGAGCCTTTCCCGAGCCGCGGGCAGGCTTCGGGCAGCCTACGTTCTTTTTTAATATTCCATTAAGTTCTATTTGAGGTAAGCAGACTAAAATATCATTTTCATCTACTTATATTCTATTTAGTCCACATTATTTTCTTATGTTTCAATAAGTCCTATGGGAGACAGAATTACCAAAATACCCATAATGTGAATGTTCACATCGTCAATGTAAATGCTCATATCATCAATGCGTAGAGGCCCGAGCCGGCCCATATCGAGCCTCGTGGGTGTCCGAAAAAATCCTGCCTGGTCCGGCCCACGGACCAAAAAATTAGGTCCAGGCCCTAACCCTGGCACAAGGGTATTCGGGCTTTGGACGAGCCGATGGATCGAGCCTCGGGTCGGGCCGGTGGCCTGGGCCTAGCCTCGAGCTTAGGTTGGGCTTGGGCGGGCCTGGCCATTTTTTTTTAATTCTTTTTAATTTTTTCTACCAAAATTTTATTATTTTTCACAAAAAAAGACATTGCGCCTCGGGCGGACTGGGCCTCGGACCGAGCCTTGAATGGGCCTTAAGCGGGCTGATGGGTCGGGTCAGGCTTCAAAGTGATGGCCTAGGCCCTAGCCTAGGGTCTCGGACATGCTCGGACCCGGACCCAAACGAGCTTGCCCCGGGCCGTGGGCGGGCTTTGGGCAATCCACGGGCCACGGGCCAATTCTGCATTCCTATCAATGTGCATGTTAACAAGTCAATGTGAATATTCACATTGTCAACGGGACAGGCCGGGCCTACCCCGGGCAGCGGGCAAATTTTACACTCCTATCAATGTTAATGTTAATATGTCAATGTGAATATTCACATTGTCACGGGTCGGGCCAAGCCCGCCTCGGACTGCAGTCGGGCTTCGGGCCACGCCACGGGCTACGGGCCAATTTTATATTCTTATCAATGTGAATGTTAACATGTCAATATAAATATTCACATTGTCAACGGGCTGGGTCGGGCCTGTCCTGGGCCGTTGGCCAATTTTATACTCTTATCAATGTGAATATTCACATTGTCAACAGGCCGGGCCGGGCCCGTCCCGGGCTGCCCACGGGCCGTGGGCGGGTTTCGAGCAGCCACGAGGTGCGGGCTAATTTTGCACTTCTATCAATGTGAATGTTAACATGTCAATGTGAATATTCACATTGTCAACGGGCCGAGTCGGGCCCGTCCCGGGCTGCCTACGGGCCGTGGGCGGGTTTTGGGCAGCCACGGGGCGCGGGCCAATTTTATACTCTTATCAATGTAAATATTAACATGTCAATGTGAATATTCACATTGTCAACAGGCCGAGTCGGGCCCGTCCCGGGCTGCCTACGGGCCGTGGGCGGGTTTTGGGCAGCCACGGGGCGCGGGCCAATTTTATACTCTTATCAATGTGAATATTAACATGTCAATGTGAATATTCACATTGTCAACAGGCCGAGTCGGGCCCGTCCCGGGCTGCCTACGGGCCGTGGGCGGGTTTTGGGCAGCCACGGGGCGCGGGCCAATTTTATACTCTTATCAATGTGAATATTAACATGTCAATGTGAATATTCACATTGTCAACAGGCCGAGTCGGGCCCGTCCCGGGATAAGAAAATAATGTGAACTAAATGGAACATAAGTAGATGAAAAAGGGTATTTTGGTCTTCTTATCTCAAATAGGACCTTTCACATTGACGGTGTGAACATTTACATTGACAATGTGAACATTCACATTAGGGGTATTTTGGTAATTATGTCATCCATAGGATGTGAACATTCACATTAGGGGTATTTTGATAATTATGTCACCCATAGGACTTATTGAAACATAAGAAAATAATGTGAACTAAATGGAATATAAGTAGATGAAAAAATAAATATGTATATGTTTATTCATAGTTATTAAAAAAAAATTAAAACTTGATAAAATTTTATATTTATATTTAAAATTATTCAGTATTTATAGATGTGGTAGACACTAAAAGTGACATAATTTAATTAACTCAACATTTATCTCAACTTGGCCTTGATATAATTATTAGAAAATTGTCTTAATCTATACTTAAGTATGAACTGCTTAACTTATTTATTCATTAAATTGGTGAATAAATATATGTTAGTATTTTTTTATAATAAAATATGTAACAATGTGAATGTTAATATGTCAATGTGAATATTCACATTGTCAACGGGCCCGACTAGGCCCGCCCCAGGGCGCGGGCGGGCGGGCTTTTGGCCGCCCATGGGCCGCGGGCCAATTTTGTACTCTTATCAATGTGAATGTTAATATGTCAATGTGAATATTCACATTGTCAACGGGCCGGACCGGGCCCGCCCCGGGCCACCCATGGGCCGCGGGCGGGTTTTGCGCCGCCACGGGACGTGGGCCAATTTTACACTCCTATTAATGTGAATGTTAACATGTCAATATGAATATTCACATTGTCAACGGGTCGGGCCCGCCCCAGTCCGACTCTAATTTTTTCGGGCACCCACAAGGATCGACATGGGCCGGTCCCCTACACATTAACGATATGAATATTTACATTGACGGTGTGAACTTCACATTAGAGGTATTTTGGTAATAATGTCACCCATAGGACTTATTGAAATATAAGAAAATAATGTGAACTAAATGGAACATAAGTAGATGAAAAGAGTATTTTAGTCTTCTTATTTCAAATAGGACCTAATGGAATAGTCAAAAAGAATTTGGGTTGGATGGAATAAAGCTCTTAGAAAGTGAATTTATCAAAAAAGCTCCCCCTTATCTATTGACAATTAATTTTAAATTAAATGCCTCAAATAATTTGCTACCAACATAATAGTAACATATGAGATGAGATGGTAAAGAAGGTTTCATAAATTTTAGTGCATTTTCATTACACTCTATATCCTTATATTTTATAAAAATAAAATCATTCTTAAAAAAATAGGACTCCCTATTTTGAGGAGTGAACAAATCACTCAACTAATGAAGAGAAGCACTAAGGTTTTTTTCTTTTTTTTTTCTTTTTCTTTTTTTTCTTTATCCCTCAACTCCCTAAACCATCAAGCAATTGAGAGGATATTTTAGTTTTAAAAAAGAGATAAGAGAAAGAATAGAAAACATCATTGGAGAAGATAGTTTTAAAAATAACCAATTCAACTCACTTAAAAAATTTTAAAAATAAAAAAGCGTTAGAGCATCTCCACACCTTAATGGCTATTTTCGAAAAGTGATTTGGGCGCAGCAGCAATTATTGTACAGCCTATTTCAGGGTCTAATTCGATAATTCATACTATTTTTATTTTAAAAAATATTGAGTAGAATATACTTGTAAAAAATCACGTCGATCAGATATCATTCTCTTTTTCATCAAATCATATTTGCATTGAGTTTTATATTTCAAATTACATTTATTTTATTTTATTTTATTTTAAAATACAAAAATGATTTGAGGAAAGAGCCAACGATATTCAATTGATGTGATTTTTTATTGATATATTTTATTTGATATCTTTTAAAATATGAACAGTTTAAATTATTAATTAGTCTCTAAAATGAACCCAATAAAATACACAACAATTGTTACTGGCACCATACTTAGTAACAACTCCAAACTCCTTAAATAATGTCAAATTTAGCATAATCAAAAAAAGATGTCAAATTTTTTTGTTTTCATTGTTTTAATAATAAGGACTTACAAAAAGGGTTCAAAAAATACTTTAATAAAATAATAAATTTAACATATGAATTGAGAGGTGAAATTTATATGTGTTAATTTAATAAATAACAATAATAATATATCAAAATTTGAAAGTTCACATGCGCATGCTATTATTGAAAATTCTTTAACCGACAAACTATACATAGCCCTCTCATAAAAATTTGGGCCCCATTAGCATAGACAGACCCTCAATCATCCAACATCCTCACATCAATTTTCTTCCCCCCTCTCTTCTCTCCCTAATTCCCACCCCACCAGCGACGGCCCCTCCCTCCTCATGTACCCTTCCATTCCCTCTGAGTAATGTTAGATATAATGAAAAAAATATTATAAAAATAATTATAAAATATTTTTTATCGTTAGATTATACATATAAGAAAATACATCAATCAAAGATTGAAAAATCTTCACAAAACATTTCATGATATTTTTTTCATAATCCTTAATATTATTCTTCTTGAATTTTGCCTCTCAAACATTTCTTTATTTCTCTTATTTGACAGATTTTTATCCTTCTCTTATTAATTCTTCTCAAACCCTAACCAATCAATAGAAAGTATTTGGGTGATAGGCAGGAACAGAGGAAAATAGGTGATAAGATGATTGGAACAAAAATAATGTTAGAATAATCACATTTGTATCATATTTGGTTTGGAATTTAATTTTATGTAGTTTACTTATAAATCGCCTAATTTAAATGCATTCATTAAACATTAGTCACATCACATCATCAACCTCTCTTCTAATAAAGTTAAATAGACTAAAATTAATACAGATTGTATCAAGCTACAAAGATAAATAAGATAATTTTTATATATTTTAATGTAAAAGATAGAACATTACTTTTTCATCTATTTGACTAATGAATTTTTGACAAAATTAAAACTAAATATTATGTGAATTGAAATGTTACTTGAGTTCAATATAATTATGAGATTTATCGTATTTTTTTCGATCCTTAGAGAAATATCAATATAACCTACTTTTTTGGTTTTGTTTTTTCAAAAAATTGATACCTAAACCTCATCTTGATAACCTTTTTGTGTCCACACTATGTCGAATGATCAATTCACACACTCTCTCTCTCTCTCTCTCTCTCTCTCTCTCTCTCTCTCTCTCTCTCTCTCTCTCTCTCATATTTTGGCATCATAGCATGGAATATATGTTGTTGTGTTGTTGGTCCTGCAACCAGATGAGGGGCTCAAATTAGACAATACTTTGTTAATTTGTTAATGTGGACTAGGGCTTCAAAAGGGTCCATTTTCTTTTGACATTTTTGATACGTTTCACGTCTAATGATGTGCACTCTCTTAAAAATGAATATAACATACACTTCCTTTTGTTATTATTGCCATGATATGTAATCATCATTATAATATAATAGGAATAGAGTTATAATAACAATGATATAATATTGAATCATAATTTTAATTTATGACTAAGTGAGCTATTATAATGATGGGATTAGAGTTATGATAACGATTATATCGGATTGTAATTTTAATTTACAACTAAGTGAGCTATTGAAGTTACAACATAAGATTGATTGCATCATAATTATAAATACTTATAAATATTTGTTTTTGTTAGATATAAGCAAACAAATAATTTCACATGTTTGGTTTCATTTTTAAAATTAATTTTCTGAGCTTTTTTTTGAAAAAATATAAATTAATTTAACAAAGATAAACGCTAAAAAAATATTTTTTTAAAAATTATCTTCAACCTCAAAAGAGATAAAAGCATATAAAAATAATAAATATTTTTTTGTCTACTATCTTTTTCAATAAATTAGTTTTTTTTTTTTTTTCAATTTCAAAAATAGATTATAAAAACCAAACTAAACAAACTTGCCTATTAATTTTCTTTTCATTTTTCTAACTCAACAACACACACACACACACACACAAAACCTCTACCTTGTACTTCATTTTTTTAATTCAAGATTATTTGGTGCCATAAATATTGGAGTTGCCCTGGGAGACATAATATTTAAAAATGTCATCCTTTGTGGCTATGGACTATCCATGAGTTCAATTGATTTTGGAAGACGCGTATTGTGCATGTGGAAGGGAGGCATCAATCACCACCAACCCTAACATGAAGTGTTTCCTATTTTGCAGACTTCTTTTTTTTTTTTTTGTGTGGCTAGAAATTGAACAAGTTCCATTGATTCAAAACAAATATTTATTCTAGAAACAATCCACCACAAAATCAATAAATTAATTAATCTAAATAAAGTACCAAATGCAACCCATTCCCCTGCCCTACAGGAGGCCCAAGACAACCCAACATCGGCCCAAGCCAAGCCGACACAACATTGTTATCGACACAATCCCATCCCTAGTCATCAGAATCATTCAAACCTCTCCATTCCCTTCCCATCACCATTTTACCCCTCCTCCATCGTTGCGGCAAATTTTACAAGGTGCAAATAGAATATATGCTGGGTGCAAGTGACAAGTGTACACAAACGGAAAAAAAAAAAAAAAAAAAAAACCCTAGGCAGTTTGCACTTGCATTTTCCACACATCGCACTTGCACTTCACAGGTTTTAACAACAGATGGAAGAGGTGTGAGGTCGCAACGAAAAAGGGTAACAGGGTTTTTTATATGGTTGAGGTGACTTAAGTTTTGGGTCAACTAAGAAGTTGGGTTGGGGGGTGGCAAAGGCGTTTCGGAGGAGTGGTGGGGTGACAACAATAAATGGGAGAGAGGCAAAGGTGGGTGGGGATGGGGTGATGAATGGGTAGGAAAGGGGTGGAGGAATGTCGGGTGGGTTGGGAAGTGGTAGGGATGGTGAGAGAGGGTGGAGGTGGGAGCGCAGAGGAAGGGGCTAGGGTTTTTTGTTACCAGCACACAAATAAAAACAACTTCTTGTTACCTTGCACAATGCAATGCATAATTAGTTCCCCATACTCTACTTGATAACAGAATGTTGAACAAAAAGCCACTCCATCTCCAAATTTAATCTGCATGAGCGTGCCGTAGCAGCACAATACTAGCAATATAATGATGAACAGAGATGCAAAACACAACATGACACAACGCTGAGCGTCAGCAACCACAACCCAATTTATAATATTATCTCATAAACATCAGTTAACATAATAATTAAGGTTCTTGCTCCCATTGCAACTTGGAAGACCAGGCGGTCACTGTTTATTGCAAAATCACATAATATTGTATGGAGGAAACTCCTATCAAGTTCTTAGGGTAGAATCAGAATTAAAACTTATTTTCATGCGATATCTCTCCACCCTCACGACCAGAGATCTACAGCAATTCCATCTTAGCCAGGAGGCCAGTTCATTTGACGTCCCCCAAGGAGGTGAACATGAAGATGATATACAGATTGACCTGCCAAAACATTTCCACCTTAGAAATAATCCCAGAAATGGATTACATGTTTATGTAGTTTAAATTTAAGAGAATCTGAGAAAGAATACGAACATCCGTTTGGCCCATCATTGATCACAATCCTGAATCCCTCTTCAAGTCCCTCCTGTTTAGCAACCAGTTTGGCAGTGTAAAGCAAGCGGCCAAGAATGTGACAGTGCCTTTCCTCGGCCTGGGAAAAAAAGCCCATGTGATGAAGCAAAAAATGATATTAAAAAAAAGAGACAGATGAAACTTAACCAATTCCGGGTCAAAACTAACCTCTGCAGAAGCACATACTTATGAGCAAACCATGTACATCAGTAAGAACTAACCATGTACATAAATAAATAAATGCCTAAAGTAAAAAACATACCGATCACCTATAAATAATCAGAAATTCAGAACAAAGAGAAACAAAAACAAGAAAAAGATTGATTACATGACTCTATAATGCTCTTCTTTCATTCATCACATATACCATTTATAATTTGGTGACAAAGATCAAATAATAATAACAAACTCCTAAGCTCAAACCTTTTCCCATATATAGGACAAATTTTATTGAACAAAGAGAAAGTACTATGAGGCGACGAAGCAGAAATCTGTGACTACAAATTAAAACCGTGAAGTGAAATTAGCAGCTAATTATCGATGGAGAAGCCACTGATATTGATCAATTTTAAAGTAAATAAGGTTATCATGAGTCCCATAGTAGGAAAATTCTCTACCATTGTCTTTTACACTTTTCTCAACAATATCACTAAACAGTTTGTCAAAGAAGCACGGACACTTCTAAGGTGACGTATCCGTGTCGTGTCCGTGTCGGACACTTACACTCTTTGGACACTCTTAAGACACGTGTCCAACACTCTTCAAAACATGTCGTATTTTTAAAAAAAATTTAAAGACTCGGGCACTCCTTGGACACTTAAAAGACGCACGTATCAATTGCTTAAACACATGTGTCTATCAATTAGACACATGTGAAACTAATTATAAGTTTAAACAAAACAACTTAAGATACAATAATAAAACAAAATCTATATAAATTAGTATCATATTGCATTTTTATTATATTTAAATGATATATATATAAAATTATATATTTCATGCATGTCCTTCACGTGTTGTGTCCTGCATTTTTTGAAAATTAATGTGTTGGCTTGTCTGTGTCATGTCACGTGTCCGTGTCCATACTTCTTAACTGTTTGTGTGAATAAATCCAGATATATTGTCAATTTTCCTCTGGAAAAATATCTAAAACGATGCAGGCAGGCACATAACTGCAGCAGCTCTCTCTCTCTCTCTCTCTCTCACACACACACACACAAAGAGAGGGTTGTCACATACTTTATCATGCTTTACATAATGATACAAGTGTTAACTAAGCTCCAATCGGTCCTAAAAAACAGCTACATAAAAAAATAAAAATTAAAAAAATTAATAAATAAAAATAAAAAAATTAATAAAAGAGGAAAAGTAAAGGCAAAAAAACTACAGACAGCTAAGAGATGTGCATACTGCAAGACTTTTGGGCATTCCCAGTTTGCTTGTCCCTCCTCCAATAACATCACATACCAGTAAGTAAGTTTGGAGGAAAAAGGAGGAAGCGAGTGCAGCCCCTTCAAATGAATGGATTGAGGTCATGGCAAAGAGTGAAGGAAAAAAATGACGGAACTGAGAATGACAGAAGGCAAGTTTCTAACTTGCCTAAAAGAGATGAGTAGTCCTAGCCCAAATCTCCTGAAAGCTCAAGCATATTAGTATTCTTTAATCTTGTCTCTACTTGTCGGATAATGAGGATGAGGCTTAGGGCTCTTTTGATCAAAGGGAAATGAAGAAGGAGATATTAAAAGGAAAAATTGACCTCCATGGCCTGACCCTACATATATATAACGGCTCTCCATAGCTTGGAGTCAAAGCTTCTTTGCAAAAGCAAGTTGTTAGGTCATTCATTTCACTTCCTCCATGTAGGCACTAGTGCAATACGAAAATGTATAAGAAAACAAGGTATCAAGGAATACCTTAGAGAGTCCAGTTAAGCCATCCCTAACTTTGGGAATGATCACAATGTGTGTAGGAGCTTGGGGGGATATGTCCCTAAAAGCAAGAACCTGAAATAAAAACAAAAATATAAAATTAAAGTAGGAACCACAATTGCAACAAAATACAAAATCACCAATAAGCTTACTTAGAACAAAACCCAAATTAAAAATAAAATAAAATAAATGGATTTTTTTCTTTTTATGATGTAGAAAACAAATAAAAACATAAATAGCAATATCATTACTATTTATTACTCGTTATAAAAAAAAATTAATGAAAGAAAAGACAATCAACATATATGTTGTTTACCTTTTTTAATCAATAGCACCTTCTTTGATCACAACAATTACTTTAAAATAAGGTTTTGAAGTAAATAATAGTTCCTAAATTTCCAAGTGCTACTAAGAACAATCAAATGATTATAGGAAATATTTACTTTTGATCTACAGTATAGAAAATGAGTGCTGCCACCCACAATTTTATTCTAATATAAGTTTCAAACTTTTTTCCCCATCCCTAACCTCCCTAATCCTAACCCTAACCCTAACCCCACCCCACTCACCTACCACCAGCTTTGCAACCCACCCCCACCCTAGCAACCCCGCACCTCCGCAACCACCGCAACCCTCTTCTTCCCTCGCAGTCCCTCTATGTTGTGTGTGTGTATGTTAAGGCAGTTGTGGAGGAGTTAGAGGGGGTGGGAGCCGTCAGGGGAGAGGATAAGGGACTGGGGTGTGTCAAGGAAGAAGGAAGGAGGCTGTGGAGGGTGGGGAAGGGATATGGGGAGAGGTGGGGGAGGGGTGAGATGGTTGGGAAGGGGAGACTGAGAAGGGGCTTTCGGAGGTGGGGGGTTGCGTGGAAGGGTGGTGAGGTTGGGAAGGGGGCTGCTAGAGGGAGTGGCTAGAACGGGTGGAGTGACTAGGAAGGGGGCTGCTGGAGGTGAAGGAGGGGGTGATGGAGACTGCCAGAGGAAGGGTAGGGGTTCAAAGAAAGGGGTTATAGTTGGGATTATGGTGAGGGTTCAAAGAAAAAAAGGTGGAGGGCAATTTTGGTTGGTGGAGATCCAAAGAAGTGGGAGGTTCAAAGAAAAAGGGTTAGGGCTATTTGTAGCACCCATAGGAAATATTCCTTTACTAGTTCAAAACACTGATAAACAATGAGTTACATATTCAATAAATAGCAGATAACATGTCAAAATAAAGGGGATATAAGGGAAGTGCACAATAACAAGCTGACACCAATTATCTTGAAATTCTTTATGAATATATATTGTACGAACAAGAAATAATCTTCTCGTGTAATCATGTTGATCAAGTTTGCATTCCTCCAAATGTCGTCACTTCGCTACCTGAAAACACAAACGTAAGCTAGCCGGCGGATGTGTGTCAGAAACCCGTTCGATGTCTAAGTCAGCAAAGTAGACAATAGACAATAAGCTCTGTGTATTTGGGAGTAAGAATTGCAATACCTGTGCGTAAGTCCTGTCATGAACTTTTATAGATTCCGCTTGGCACAATCCTAGTAGGACTCCAACTTTCCTTAACAGAGTCTTCCTAGGAATCACACTCCCAAGGATAAAGCTTATCCTGAGAACGCCCTTCTCACAACCAAGTGAGATTGTTCAAGCCTGTTACCTCGGCTGGTAGCATAGTCAACCGAGCTAGCCTGGTCTGGTTCTGTGCTGGATAGAACTAAGATTGCATTCTACCAAGCTTATTCCAACTCGGCTCTATATACTAGAAAAACCTTGGTTCGTTTCTGGACTATATCTAGGCAACCTGGTTCAGGCCCTGGCTCAATGACTGCACGGTCAACCGAACTACACCTGTCCTTTCCTCGGCCTAGCACGCGGCCCAACATCCAAAGGAGGCTCCACCTAGCTCGGCCCAATTTGTACACAAATTACCCTCTCAATTGCCCCTTAATTCCATCTGCGAAGCATGATTGGGATTATTATCCTCAAGCCGTGCTAAAATATCCAAACCACCCAAACCGAAACACTCAGGCCAACCGAGCTAAAACTCACTTGGTTTCCACGTCTTCGAGGTCGTACAGCCCGCTCTCCCATGTTTCTGGCAGCACGTCCTTACTGGGACACATGGCCCCTCACGATTGCCTCTATCGCTGTGACAGCCGTCAATCATTACTCTGAAATTTGAATAGTCCCACCGTTTTGCCTCCATTTCATATCCATCCCCCTAGTCTTCAAACAATCACCATTACTGTTCATCTTCTAATCCACAAACAAAAACAACCCCCTGCGAACAAAACTCCAATCCTGCACTTGCCTGCATTCAAACCCTGGTACCATCGGCCAAATCGAGCTTAACACTATTGCAGGAACACCTTTTGCTGATCAATGTCACATCTTCCACAAAAAACTCGTAAGTTCCATGTTCTTTCAAACACTTTATATGACGCTCTTTAGATTCTTGATGTTTTTAGCATTATAAACCCATTATACTGATACTGCAAGAGTATGTATAGTTTTTGTTTATGCGCTAAAATGAGCTTAGAACTAAATTAGCTTAACCAAACCCCACACCTTAGGAAGATCTTCTACCTAACTGGAACTGAAATCACACAAGAACTTTGATTTTGATCCAGAAATCATACTGAAACCGAGCTACAAACAGGTTTGTGCTCACTTAGATGTGCCTCACTGAACTAGGAAAACATCACCTAACCATGACCGGGCTGCAACTTGGTCCTTTTCATGGACCGAGATAAAAATCTCGCCCTATCATAAGACCAAGCTAAAACCTTGCCTCAGTTTTTGGCCGAGCTATACGCCGTCCCTTTTCCCAAGACTGAGCAAACTAATTTACACTGATGCCTTAGCCCGGTCACCAGCTGGCCATGACACATTCTATGTTCTTCACTGTGCAGACTTTGACTAAATTTATTTAAGCACACCATTCACTACAAAGCCGGGCTAAGGAGACAAGTAGATATTTATAAACAAACTAAGGCCACACCCATGGACAAATACCGGTTCCTCGTGAATTCGCTCGGCATTATAGCCGAGTTTCGAAGGGACTACAACATCCCCAACAACGTTCAACTTGAACTAGCAGAGCCGGACACCACACCTTGGGGCAAATCGGGCTTTGTTCCGTTCACACTACTGTCTATTGTAGAGGGTGGACTTCGGTTCCCAGTCCAACCCCTCATTTGTCAATTCCTTAGGCAAATCAGGCTATGCCCCACATAATTATCCACTAACACGTACAGAATAATAAATGGCGTCGCTGAACTCAATCGCTGCCTTGGCCTCAACCTTGGACTGGCCGAGCTATTCCACTAATATTCGCTCGGTCAGAATGACGACGGTTGGGTCTATTACCTTAGAATAAGAAAAGGCTGAGAGAAAATTGTCAAGAGTACACCAGATAAAGACCTAAACGACGATGATTTTCTCTGGGTGTTTGGAAATTTTAAAGATTAGGAAGCCTAGATACTGGGCTACAACATCAACTGGAACAATGGAACAACTGGTAAGGACAGCCCGGTTTAATCTTCTTTGCCATCATAACAACTGTCGTACTAACCCTTGTGATGTTTGTCCCTCCTGCAGATTTGAATCATCTTAAATCAACTTACGCATACGCGAATCACGCCGCGCTACGCTATCAGCATCGAGATTGGGCCGAACTGCTTGATGTGCAACCGACCTACCGCTATAGTGGTAAGAGGAAGACCAGAGTAACCGATTTCCTTTTAGAGCCCTCACCCGAGCTGGACCCCACTCTACCTCAAATCAATCTAATTCCACTTACTGAAGAACAAGAAATAGTGAAAAGGAGGGCCGTGCGAGCTCTTATTACTGAGCAGACCTCCGGCGAGGTTCAAATCGAAATAGCACCCCTTGGCCAACAGCGCGAAACAGTCGTCGCCCTTCCAACCACCAGGGCAACATCTCGACCAGGCAAGCGTGCGCGGTAAGACTGCGCTTCCTGAACCTGTGCTGCCGAACCCAGAGCCTGTTCATTCTGGCCGAGCAAACCCTTCTTCTCCCCCAGTGTGGGCACCATCCGTGTCTTACAAAAACCACGTTGTGTCCACCAAAGATTCAGTGGTTTTTGAGACGGACCACATGCTTGCTTTTAACCTCTCAAAGAGCGTCTGTTTGCCAACAGACATGCAGCATCACGATCACTTGACCGAGCTGAAAGCCATTTGCTTGGCGAATAAGTCACTGGTGCTTGTAAGTCTTCCACCCATTTATTTATACCCATATTGTCCATCTAATTGCTTGATTTATCCTAACCACTCTTTTTCGATCTGCAGGCCTTGCAAAAAAACCACGTAGCCCACAAGTATGTGCTAGAACTGCGAAAAATAACGCGGTCGGCCATAGCTGATGCAAACGCCAAGGCAGCAAAACTAAAAAAGGTCAAGGTGAAGCTAACCGAGCTGGCATCTGAAAATGAAAGGCTGGTTGAACTAGTCAACACGGCCGAGGTTGACAAGTAAAAAGCCCTAGCCGAGAAAAAAGATCACTATCTGTGCGAGTTGGCCAAGTTGGAGAAGAAAAAGAATGCCAAGGTCCAAGAGCTAAGAAAGAAGATAGAGGACGCCGAGGATCAGGGTTTTAAAGAAAGCGAGAAAACCTTACGTCCAGCAGTGCGAGGCGGCCAAGGACATCTTTTTTAAGTGTGGCTGGAAGACGGCAATGGCTAAGCTTGGTCATGGGCCCGACTTCGAAGTGTTTCTGAACCCTCCTCCTCACTTCATACCGGGCTATATGATGGACTACGCAAACGCCGTCCAACAAAAGTTCCTTCAAAAGGGGGAGGAGAAGATCCCAGACCCAGATGATGCACCTCCCACAAACACTAACCTGAATCGCCAGTCTTCACTGTCCGCTCGGGTTGATCCGCCCAGCAAAACCGTGCCTAATACGATCGACGGAGTGGCCGTGACCGATCTAACACATGAAGCTAAAGCCCGAACCGACCTGCCCAGCGATGAAGTCCGTGGTGACCAAGATGCTGACCTTTTTTGCTTGACCAGGAAGCCTTTTTCTTGTTTTTTGCTTGATTTTTGTTCTATGTTATGTAACCGG